TCACTTCCATATTAATGCTAGGAAGTCACAGTCTGCTCCATCCGATGAAAATAAATGGCAACCTTCAGTCTCCTGGTTGTCATTATGGGCAAAGGCTGGGTGTCTCTATCAGAAAGTGTACACAGTGGATTCAGGAGCCAGTGTGGAAACAGGGTGGCAGTGAAATGTTTGTCAGGTTTCCTGCTCCAGCTCTTCCTTCCAGCCCAGGGTACCACAGAAGGCAATCTTAATAACAAACCGTTGCTTACACTGTATATTTATACTAGGTTATTTGCTGTGTGAACCAGCCACAAAGGGAATCAAAGTAGGGTTACTGCAATGGTAATTAAGCATTCCAGGGTCACTTTTTCAGCCTGGAAAAACTGTACTGAAAGTATCAAACGAGGAATTTTGGATGAATATTGTCACTTTATTGAAATTGGTTACATAGGCTAGAGGCAGACATTACACATAAGCCAGATTAAGTGATCAGAAACTGGTTTAAACCTGTAACAGAACAGATGTTCAGTACACATAAACCAGTTTGAAAATGGCTGCAACTGGTTTGAGATAAACCTGGTTGAATGTAGTATCAGACTTAACTGTTTTGGGTCAAACCAATTTATTCAATGTCTGTCCCAGACCTTTTGCTGGTTTAAGATAAATCAGATACTCCCAGCATGCTCTCTGGGCTGGGCAGGGCTTTCTGCTCCACAGCAGGGCCGGCCCCTCCCCTCTCCAAAGCTCCAGCAGAGACTTGTAGGCACAGAGCATCTTCCTGGTTTCTCCCTGCTAAACAGGGATTAGTCCCCCCTTCCCTCTGTCTTACGCAGACACCTCAACATTAGCTAGCAGATCGCATGCTAGCTACAGTCTGTGCTATGGGAGGCGACAGGCAGACAGGCTTTTTGGAGCTAATCAACAGGTAGCTTAATGTTCTTCCTTGGAAGAGCTGTTTAAGAAGAGCTCCATTACTTAATGGAGAGAGGCTTTATTTTCTTAATGGATTGATAAGCACAGAGTTAGGGGCGATAAACACTTCCTGCTGGGCTGCTTGGGGGGGGGGGGGGGGGGGGGGG